AATGTTCAATATATTGTATTTTTATGTTATTATTTTAAATATTTTTTTCTTTTTCGAATTTCATTTTATTTGTTTAAGTTTCATGTTTTCTTTCAAATAACTATTTTAAAGATTTCTGTTTACTCATTCGAACTCCGTAGTGTAAATAAAATGTGCATCGTTTATTATTTTTTTTTTTCCTCAAGTAAAACGGGAAATATAGACCTGTCCCCCGTTTTTTTTTTTTTTTTTTTTTCTTTTTTGCGCAGTGTAGATATCAGATTAAATAAGTTATACAATATGGGTACTAAGTATGGCCATGGCATCCTTTTTGAAAATTAATATTGTAATACTATGCATTGTCATGTAATTAATATAAGTAGCATTGCACTAACATTTCAAGCATTTTTTTTTCTTTCTTTATTTTTAACCAAAGTAAAATCAGATTTAAAAAAAAAAGGAGAGAGAGGAATCTATTTAATCTCTGAATTCATTTTTTTCCAAATTATGATATGATTGAAACTAAATTATATTTGCAGGCTGTTTTTAAAGTATCTAAGCTTGTAATATCCAAAATTTTTACAAATAGGCTGTTTTTGAAATTAGTTTTTTATTTAATTAATTTATTTCTGCAGCATTTCTATCATTCAGATATTTAAGTGCTAAGTTATATTATGCTGCCTATAAATTACTTAAATTCAGGGACATTAATTGTTCACCAGTTAAAAACTGAAAATTAGAAAATATTGTGTTTAATTTTTTTGTAGCTCGATTCCAAACATCTAACAGTTTTTAAATTTAAACTGTAAAAATTAATATATATATATTGTTAAAAATTAGTTTTCTTTTCAGTTGATTTTTTATAGTCTGATTTATTAACCTTTCTTTTCATTTCCATTCAGGTATTTAAAGCTAAATTTTTACATTTCTCAAAAATACGTTGTGAAATATTTTATCTCATCTGGTGTGAAGATAAAAAAAGAAATAAGAAAAAATTCATAAAGAAAGATATAATCTTTCTATGAAACATACAGCTTTGTATATAGTAATTATAGTTTTTGACTGCTAGGCTGTATCTACTTTTTCTGTTAATTGCAGAATTAAATTATGCATACATATAATACCCATAAAAATTTTGAATTGATTTTCCTAAAATGCTATTATTTTCACTACAATGAAATGATTTATCATTTGATGCCATATCATTTAATAATGGATGTTCTTCAGTTATTTGTATCTCTGATTCTTTAGCAGCATGCCCATTGCATATCCATGGTGAACTTTTGATGTTGTTTTAAAACATAAAAACATAAGTTCATCCCATTAACTCAGATAAAAGAAATATAGATCCTCTGTACAATTAAGAAACCTAAACATGTTTGAATTTGAAGAAGTGACACTCTTCTTATACAAAATTGAAACTAAGGGTAAAGAAGGAATATACACTGAATTAAATACCAACACCAAAAAAGAATTAGTGTACATGAATGAAATGTAGGCAAAGCATTTGTGTATGCATTGCTGGATAGCTCAGCTTTTTTTGCTGCTTGATGCTGTCTCTGCATTTGCAAGATCCTGCTGCGCATTTACTTTCATAAATTCTAAAAGCTTCCTGACTCTTGCAGCTGCATTGGTTACACTGGCTGCCTTAATTAATTAATTTATGCCTCAAAATACATAACTCTCAGTTTACATTAATAATTCTATGTAATAATGCTATGTAAATTATTGCACTGATGGAAATAGAACATGATTTTCATGTTGAAACCATTTGACTTAAAAATTAAATCAAGCATTAAATTAAAATTATTCAAGCATGTTTCCACAGTTTCAATTTTGTTAAATACGAGGGATTTTATAGTTACTTCATTTTCATTTACTTTATTCATAATCACTACAAATAATCCCTTTTAATATGTTTAAGGAAAACTTGTGCTTTTATTCTAAGAAATATTCCTGGCTTCGAAAATTTTGCTTCGCAATTACTAAATGATATGGGCAATCTTGGTTGCTTGTTATAGTACAGTTCATGGTGAATGGGTTGGCTGTATATAATTGTTGGACATTTTGCTTGTGTAACTTGAATCTAAAAGCTATTAGCTTAGAATATCCTTTGCAAAAACATCCACCCTAAATCAGATAGCTTTGGGTAATTAACAATAATTGATTAATCAATGAATCTTCTTTAACATTCTACCTTTCAATTTAGAAGTCAAACAACAAAAATCAGCATTAGATTTTCAAATTTTCACAGGACTGGTTTCAGTGGTTTTACCGAAACATTATCCTCAGCTGCAAAAGCGCAAATGAACGAGATAAGATGTAGTGATTAGATAAGAAAGACTGGACAAGTGCTAAGCTACTGGCGCCATCTGTTGATGAACCAAGAACTAAAATATAATTTCCCTAAAGGCTGAAGGCAAAGATGGATTGGAATTAGGGTCGTTAACTAGGACGGGAAAGATATTTTTCAATGTGAAATGCCTCTAGAAAATCCCATTCACCAATGGAAAATGTTTTTTGAATAATTTTGGCTGCAGAAATATTGAAAGTATGATTTTTGGACCAACAATGCTGGACAACAGAAGACTTCTCTGTTTCCTTTTTTCTAACATATGCCTTAATGCAAAATTTTAAGGCTCTTTTAGTTTAACCAATGTAAATTAAACCACACTGGCAAGGAATCCTGTAAATACCCCAGGAATTCATATCTGGAATGGGGTACTTGACTATGGAACTTGGAATTTTATTGATGGGAGAATAAACGACCCAAAAGTTAAATTTCTGTAAAATACGGGCAATTTTATAGCTAATTGATGGAAAGAAGGGAATGTCAACAGAATTCTCATAATCTCCTAAAGCAAGAGTGTGGCTCTTGGTGTGCTGAGATGAGAATGTTTTAACTGCTCGATAAGTAATGTTGGGTGAAAAGCCCCTGTCAATAGCTATTGCTTTTAAATAATTTAGTTCTTCAGCAAGAGACAGTTTGGAAGAGCAAACTTGGAGTGCACAGAAAACATAGGAATAAAATGAAGCTAACTTTTGTTTAGTCGACATGATTTGAAGTGTGGTGAGAAGCATGTCGAGGAATGGAAGAGAATTGCATGTCTCAAGTTCAGAAGTGACCTGCATGGCAGGATTAATGGAATTCATTGTTGAAAGAACGTTATTTATATCATCTTTATTGCCTTTAAACAGGATAAAAGTATCATCTAGGTAGCGGAACCATACCGGGAAGTTTAAAGTTTCAAACAATTTTGATTCATAATAATGCATGTAGATATCAGCTAGGATGGGACTGAGGGGGCTTCCCATGGCTAATCCCTCAGTTGGCTTGTAATATTTATTTTGGAAAACAAAATGCGTTTGTTTCAAACAGAGTTGAGTGAGAGAAATTAGCTCATCAATTTCAATGCAAGAGAAATGAAATTCGTGAAGTCTGGTTTCTAGACATCTTAATGCACCCTCCACTGGAACATTGATGAATAATGATTTTACATCAAAAGAAACCATGAGTAAATTTCGAGGAGAAATGTTTTTTACAAACTCTATTGAATTTTTTATGGTGTAAATGTTATTAGCTGATAGAGTTGAAAATCTAGAAACTAAATATTTAGCTAATAGATAAGAGGCTGTGCCTAAATTTGATGCAATAGAGCGGAAAGGAATACCACTTTTATGAATTTTGGGCAGAGCATATAATCTTCCACAATTCACAACAGAAGGTATAAGCGACTGTTTTAAGTTGGTCGAAAGGATTTGTTAAGATTTGATCGCAGTTTTTAATTTTAACAGGTCCAAAGGTGAAGGATCTTTAGGAATCAGATTATATGGTCCTTCATCGGTTTGCCTTCCACCACACTTCAAATCATGTCGACTAAACAAAAGTTAGCTTCATTTTATTCCTATATTTTCCGTGCACTTCAAGTTTACTCTTCCAAATTGTCTTTTGGTGAAGAACTAAATTATTTAAAAGCAGTAACTATTGACAGGGGCTTTTCACCCAACATTATTAATCGAGCAGTTAAACCATTCTCATCTCAGCACACCAAAAGGCACACTCTTGCTTTAGGAGATTATGAGAATTCTGTTGACATTCTCTTCTTTCCATCAATTAGCTATAAAATTGCACGTATTTCACAGAAATTTAACTTTTGGGTCATTTCTCCCGTCAATAAAATTCCAAGTTCCATAGTCAAGTACCCATTCCGGATATGAATTCCTGGGGTATTTACAGAATTCCTTGCCAGTGTGGTTTAATATACATTGGTTAAACTAAGAGAGCCTTAAAATTTTGCATTAAGGCATATGTTAGAAAAAAGGAAACACAGAAGTCTTCTGTTGCCCAGCATTGTTGGTCCAAAAATCATACTTTCAATATTTCTGCAGCCAAAATTATTCAAAAAACATTTTTGATTGGTGAATGGGATTTTCTAGAGGCATTTCACATTGAAAAATATCTTTCTCGTCCTAGTTAATGACCCTAATTCCAGTCCATCTTTGCCTTCAGCCTTTAGGGAAATTATATTTCAGTTCTCGTTTCATCAACAGATGGCGCCAGTAGCTGAACACTTGTCCAGTCTTTCTTATCTAATCACTATATCTTATCTCGTTCATTTGCGCTTTTGCAGCTGAGGATGATGGTTCCGTATAACCATCGAAACTAGTCATGTGAAAATTTGAAAATATAATGCTGATTTTTGTTGTTTAACTTCTAAATTAATGATTGTTTGGCATGTTATTGTATCTTAATTCTACCTTTTATCAATCAAATAAGGTTTTGTTAGAAGAAAGGTTTAATGCCAGCTATCTTTAATTTAAATATGGCTAGTACTCCATTCTTCCTTAGAAAGTCCTCTGCAAAGGCATTCCTGCCCTTAGACAGACAGCTCGTGTGTGCCTTGCCATATTTCAGTAATTATGACACACCAAACTGTGAATAAAGGTTTTAATACTTTTCTTTAAATTATGTTAATTTTTGGAGTTGTATATATTCTTTTAAAGCTTAAGTTTTGTTTTAGTCTGTATGTGTAACTCCAATGGTACAGCTGATGATTAGATTGCCAGATGGGCAGACCATGCCAGTTCAGTTTCCAGTTATGACTTCAGGTCCAGCTACCCAGCCAGCACAAACAGTCCCACCAATTGTACCCCAGGCGTCTCAACAAGTTTCCAGCTCATCTTCAGTTACCAAAATGGTACTTTTAGTTTCTTTTAAGTATGAATTTGAATTTTGCACCTTTTCTTTCTAATTTTGTGTTAATGTTAGTTGATTTCTTGGATGTTAATATTATAGTTATAACTTTCCTTTCTTAACCTCGTTTTTCCCCTTTTCAAATACTTAATTTCTTTATGTTCATGAAAGATTCTTGTTTCACCTTGCACTTGAATAATAAAGGAAAGGTACTAAGCCAATTTTAATCAGACTTTGGTTAATTTTTCTAAATTTTCTAATTTTCTGAATTCCCTTTTTTTCTTTCTTTTTTTCCCTTTTTATTTTTTTATTTATTTATTTTTTTTATTTTTTTTTTTTTTTTTTTTTTTTTTTTTTTTTTTTTTTTTTATTTGGAGAATTCACAAGTCAGTGTTGAAATGTTTTTATTAAAAGAAGAGTAAATCTCTCTTGTTGTTTAAAACTGAGCGTGATGCCTAACTATAGTATTTGCATCTGTTCTGGATATTTGTAGAATTTGGCAAATGTGAATATTATCCATAAAATCCAATAAAATTCAAGCATAATTTGATTTCATACAAAAAGTATGAGATCATTTTAAGAAGCAGCTTGTAGATTTTTTTAACATACTTATGTATGAAATTAATGATGATTATGAGTTTATATATGTTAAAGTGCCATTAAATATTAACAGTATAAAAATAATTAAAGTGGTTTTTAATTGATGTTTTATAAAAATTTGTTGCTTATGCTGTATTTTTGTGACAAATGTTGATTTTATGATGTTTCCCAGAAGATTTATGGTTTACAGAAGAAAATGTTCATTTGGACTTGCTTGCCTGTTGAATATGCACATCTTATGATAACTGTTTGTTTATTCGAAGTTTATATAGTGTATCATTTCTACTGTCATTATTTGAAATTTTCAGAATATAGTTGTGTATTTCAAATTTTATTAGATGCTTAATCCGAATGTTTCTTGTTTGTCAAATAGGTGAATAAAACTTTTAAGAGAAGCGAGCTCGCATTTCAATGAGCTATCTGACATTTTTATGTCTTTATCATCATTAATGGAGCTATGAATGTTTTTTTTCTTCAAATTACATCTATAGATTTTTGGATAAAGGCTTATTTTGAATTTTCCAAATCCTATAAAGTATACAAAGAAACAATTTGCATTATTTTGGAATCTCAACTTTTGATGAGCAAAAATTTTACACATTTACCTCCAGCGCGCGAGACTGTGAATCAGAAATTCTAAAAATAAGCTCTTTTAAAATTATTTTGTGATATTGCTGTTGTCTTGAATTTTATGTTTTAAGAGCAAAGAACGTGATATTTAATAAATAAAGGTAACACACAAAACATTAAATAAAAGCACCAAAGACTTAAGCCATTAGGAGAGCAGTAAGCCTAATGATGGAAATGGTTTGCATTTGTGAATGTTTTATTTTTATAATTAACAAATTATTACCTTAGGAAGCAACTTCACCAATGACCATATAGATACGTTTAACACCATTCATTTATTGTAAGTTCAGATTCTAACATTTAATTGGGCTGGCTGCAGGAGATTTCATATTTTTTCCACTGTGTAACATGCATATAAGCCAAGTGCCATTAGCAGTTCTCCGCAAAGACACCTTTATTACTTCTGAAATGCTTTGCAGTAATAAATATATTAATCTAACTGTACCTTAAGAAATGACAAAATTAAGTTTTTTTCCATAAAAATGCTTCAAGACTGAATACAGAATTGGGACTTTTTTTATATTTTTTCAGTAATCAATTTCTGTTTTCATCTCTTTAAAGAAATGATGCTCTTGAGCAATTTATATTCTTTTTATGTTTTTACTTTTATTTGTATGCTATTATTAAGTGATATTTTTTAAGCCTTTAACATTTGTAATTTTACATTTTTAGTTAACATCATTTGTAAGTTTTTTTTTTTTTAAACTATTTTTTAAAAATTTGTCTCAGTTGAAGTGTTCTTTTTTGTATATTTTTGCAGAAACTGAAAGAAGCAATAACAATGAATCAGAAGTCAGGTGGGGCTGGTAAAAAGAATAACACTAATGGAAGAGTGCGAAGTAAGCAATCTATACAATTACTTCCTGTCCAAGATTCTTCTTTGGATGGTTTTGGATTATCTCTTTCCCCACCTCCTTCCCCAATTACAGTGCAAAGGCCAGGTCATAATGGGTAAGGAAGAAACACCTATTAAAGAAAGAAAAAAAAAAGTGTACTCTAATCAAGTTCTTATTTTAGTATTATTCTTAGATGGCATTCTTTGGGTGTCTTATAATGGGTACAATGTGAGAAAATTTGGTATTTTCTGATTATTTGTATCCTGCATCAAAAAGTCATGAACTTGTTGTTGACGAATCTTTCACCAAGCTACAAAAGCATTTTCAAAATGATGGTGCACCGGAAATTTCATGCTAAAGCGATCAGTGTGTACAATTGAAGAAATAAGAAAAATCTGTAATAAAACTTACCCTTTTTAGAAATGTTTCTTTTTGTGCACTTTTTTTCTTCTCATGTACAGAGCAATCTGTTTCTGCTTTAAAAAAAAATCAGGAAATTACACAAACTGAGCATCGTACAACATTAGACACAAGCCAAAGCAGATATGCTATGTGCATATTTGAGTAGCCACATAAGTACTTTTTGGCAACATTGCCACAAATGTGGCAAATGACACATAACTGGTTTGAAGACATATTGATTTACCTCATGAATACTTTTCGTGACTTTTAGGTGAGAGTGTGGATAATCAAAAGGTACCAAAGTTTCTTAGCAATGACTATCATCTTACAATAATGTCTCATTTACATAAGCATTTTCTTTATTTTTGCATCTGTAAAGTAATAGTGGATTAACTTCATTCCTATATTACTAAAAGCTTTCCAATCAAAGTCTAAGAAGAAATAATATTTAAGCTGATGCAGAAGATTTATAAATGCAGCAGAAAGTAAATGTTTTATATGTATTCATGAGGTCAAAAGTGCTATGTTAGATATGTTCTTTTACAAGAAAATTCAGATCGAAGTTAAAAATAAGGTAGTGAATGCAGTTACATAAAAATCGCAATAAAATGAATGCATTAAAATGAATTGCACATTTATTGGATTAAATAAATATTTTACTGTTAATTCATTACTGTAAGATGAATGCAGTTACCTAAAAATTTAGTAATATTATATGTGGTACAATTTCCAAAAATTAATGCATTGAAATGGCCAGCATTATCATTCTAAAGACTAATGATTTTAACTCTAAATAGTTCAAGATTATCTGTTAATAGCTTATATTAAAACAGTTAAATGTTGGTTTGAATTTTATCTGGGACAGTTCAATTGCCATGAAACAAAGCCAGTACTTCTTACTAATACCATGTACTTATCTGTTCATTTCATACTTAACCTATCTTGCAATAAAATTATTCTCTCTTTTTGTGCAAGATGCCTGTTGCCATGATGAAAAGAATAAACTCTTATGTAAATTGAGAGTCTAAAGTTGAGTAATTACAATTATTCTTGAAACAGGAATAGTGGAATTGAAAATGCATAAGTGGCTGTGATAAGATCCTATTCAGACTTATTGTAACATTATGTTCTGTAACTGTGAAGGAGAGGCTTTCATATGCCATATAATTAAGGTTGAAGACAAAGCTGAAATGCTAGCTGAACAAGTGGCATCATTATGGACCACTAAAAAGTTGAAAGTTCATTAGAATCCAAGTAAATGTGAAGTTAATAATGATTCTCAAATAATAATTGTGATGATATTATCCTAAAACATATATTATATATCTCAAGAACAAACCATCAGTGTATTGCATTTTTCACTTTTGGAACTTGCCATATAGCTAATATCACAAAAATGAAGCAATATTTTATGCAAAATCATCTATCATTTTACAGCACAATTCTTAGGTGCATGTAATGCAGTCTGGGGTTGTTTGATGCGACTAAAAAAGTACTTCGCCTCCATGAATTAAAGCCATTTTAATTAGGATTTGATTCCAAAGATATGGATTTATTTCTGAGCTAGTTTTTTTCAGGCAAACATTGCTCCATTTGAGCCATCAGTAGAATTTACTCTGAACAGTTATAATATTTTTCATATTGTTTGTAATGATTTCTAAGCAGTAGTAGTGACTATGGCAAAAGATAATAAAAATTTCACAGAAGTATCTCTTTCGTTTCAGATGTAAAGATTGCAGTTTGAACTCTGAACTTATTTTGGTGTAATAAATGTTACATTTTGACTCCATATAACATTTGACAAATACACTGCCTGTTTTTAATACAAGAACTGTTCAAAAAAATTTGCACTTTTTAAATTGCACACCAACAGCTGCAGATGGCACACATACGTAGCGTATTCGGAAACTAAGTACCGTTTCATTCGAGTGCCGTCGCAGTGCTATGGTAGGCGTCCCGCGCATGCGCACTAGTCTTTCTTGTTCACTGACTTTCAGTTGTCACCATTTTGGTTGCTCTATGTTGTGTTTTCAGTTTGCTGTGCACATTCAAAATGTTTAAGACAATTAGTTCACCCGCTGACTGTGAGATTCGTGCCGCGATTAAATTTTTGAACGCGAGGAATGTTAAACCGGCCGAAATTTATTGTCAAGTGACAGAAGTTTACGGTGAATACGCGATAAGTGATGGAATGGTGAGAAAGTGAGTAAGAATGTTTAATGCAGGTTGAACAAATGTCCACGCCGAGGCTCGGAGTGGTCGGCCTTCTGTTGTCACCGATGATTTGGTAAGGAACGTTGATGAAGCAATTCATGAGAACAGACGCTTCACAATGACAACTCTTTCAGAGGCATTTCCACAAATTTCACGTACTGTTTTGTTCGAAATTGTGTCTGACCGCTTGAATTATAGCAAACTGTGTTCCTGATGGGTTCCAAAAAATGCTCACTGATGTTCACAAAACAAAGTGACTTGGTAGTGCCCTGACATTTCTCACGCAGTACAGTGATGAGGGAGAAAACTTTTTAAACCAAATTGTGACAGGTGATGAAACTTGGGTTTGTCATTTCACACCAGAATCGAAACAACAATCGATGGAGTGGAGACACACTCATTCTCCGAAAAAACAAAAGTTCAAAGTGACAATGTCATCACAAAAAATCATGTGCACTGTCTTCTGGGATAGGAAAGGCGTTTTGCTTACTGAATTTCTTCCCAGAGATGAAACCATTAATGCGGCACGATATTGTGAGACTTTAACAAAACTAAGGCGTGCCATTCAAAACAAAGAGGAATGCTCAGTAAAGGAATTGTGTTGCTCCATGACAATGGTTGGCCCCATACTGCTGGTGTCACTCAATCGTTAATTTGACAGTTTCATTGGGGGCAGTTCGATCACCCGCCGTACAGCCCAGACTTGGCGCCGTCCGACTATCACTTGTTCCTGCACATGAAACGCGAGCTTGGTGGCAAGCGCTTTGGATTTGATGATGACACGAAAAATGCTATGGAGTCATGGTTATCATTATGGCTGTGGAGTTTCTTTGACGATGCTATACAAAAACTGGTCACCCGCTATGACAAGTGTTTGATCATTGGCGGAAACTATATTGAAAAATAGTTTAAGACATGTATTTTCATGTAAAAATAAAATTGGATTTGAAAAAATTCTTTTACTATTTTTTTTTTTTTTTTTCCAAAATGGTACTTAGTTTCCGAATATGCCTCGTATATAGATATAATATGTATATGTATGTATTTTAAAAATGCACATTTTATGTTAAATGTTTCACTGAATGGCTATCTGTAACTTTTTCTCAAATAAACATGTAAAATAATCAATGGGGAAAAATTTAATGTTTTCCTGTCATTCCTTTTCCCAGCCTAATATATAGAAGTACTCATGTATCCTTGTAATTTCTGCTTACTCCTTATCATGCATAAGAAAAGTAAGCAAGCCTTCAAGTATGCAACAGTCAGAGGAATAAAAATACAGGAACTTCTGAAATGAAATGAAATAATACAAATAAATGAATGAAAATGAAATTCTGTAATGCAAATAAATGAATCAAGACAGATTATTATTCTGTGTTTAATTAATTTTTTTTTTTTTTTTTTTTTTTTTTTTGTGTGTGTGTGTGTGTGTGTGTGTGTGTGTGTGTGTAGTTCTGTTTAAATTTTTTCAGTGATATTTCAGTACTGATTTCTCTTTTTAAAATTTTTCTGTGCCATGATCTTTTTAGTCGTAAGCGTCGTGACCTCAGTGATGACCCTGATGAGAAACGCAGAAGATCATTAGAGAGAAACAGGTTAGCTTCTAACACATTTTTCTGCAATAATGCATGGAATATATACTAAGGCTAAATAATTTATGCATTTGGATATTTTTTAGGGCAGCAGCAACAAGGTGTAGAGAAAAGAGAAAACAGTGGATTACAGCTCTAGAGAAAAAAGCTAATGAATTAGCAAACACTAATACTCAGTTACAGGTAATCTCAATTTTCTTTATGCAGCTAGCTGAAAATAATTATGAATGAAAGTTTTGTTGTACATGTGAATGATTCTGTATTGTTGCAAATTACCTTTTTCACCAAAAATTGATAATGCATGATTATTCACCATGTAAACTTCATTATCACCCCTTCATGTTTGGTAAATACTAAGTAATGCAAAGATGTGTTTGGATGAACTGCATTGCTGTTTATACTTTATTTATAGTGTAAGATGAAGTATAGACTTGCTTTTGTAATACCTGTTAAGTTGATTTCAGTGCTGCAGATGTAAAGGTCACATGTTACATAGCATTTTGCCATCACTTTACCTGAGGCATCGGAATCTTTTTACATTTGCTGAATGCAATAAAAGAAATCATCTATCTTCTTAGGTAAAGAAAGAGATTTTTAAAACGTGGTGACTGTTTTAGTGATATCAGGAATAATTGGTTTGACAAAGATGTTGAGGAACAGGCAAGTTAAAAAAGTAGAAATAATTTCATAATTATTGTAGGTGAGCAGTAGTACGTATAACTCAGAAGAATATCAATAGGCCTTCCATTAAAGATACCTAAAGCAATGCATCTTTTTATCAGGCATTTTCTGGACTTTTAACCAAGCACAGCCAATGAAAGACTAACCAAAATATACGGGCAGGGTATGAGAAAAGAATTTCTTGAAGAGACATCTTAATAATGGGCAGAATGTGAAGTTTCTTCATATACAACATCATGGTTTAAACCATTGGTATAGCAAGTAGTCTGTAATTATATCATAATAAGTATTCTTTATTTCTAAAATATTTTATTAGTTCCTATCTCATCCCATCCCCCAGTTCTTAGATGAAAAATATGCAAAGATCTGTTTTTATTAGTTGGTGTGATGCAGAGCAAAGGTGTCGCAATCCATGCTAAAAAATTACTGATTGTTTTATCTGTGATGTACTAGATTAATATGTATAATATATGAGGTGTGTATAGACAATGGAATATGGTAAGCTGATTTGTAAAGCTTCTAAGTTTTGTAGTGAAACTTTACTTAACCTTCTGAATAAAGTAACTTTTAGTGTTTCTTGTTAGTGATGGTATGGAATTTTAATTACGGCAAGGATACCCTAAAGGGAGGGATACCTTTGTGGAGGACTTTATAAGGTAAACTGGCTTGTATACACATTACACAAGGGGAAAGCCATAAAAGCGCTAATGCAGCCAGCCTATTCGGCAGAATTCGAACCTCAGACCAAGCTACCAATGTTCAGAGACTTTACTGCTCGGCCACTGGTCGGCTTGTTGATGATGGAATTCATAATTTCCAAAGTATACGTTTTTTAGATTTTGTTTCCATAATAGTTTTCATTAAACCATAATTACAAAAGTCGTTTTTATATGAATTTTTATTTGAATACTTGTGGGCTTTTTCCTGACTTGTTTGATATTTAAAAAAGATGATTCAGACTTAATCTTATGATATTATTTATTGATATAGTAATTAAATAATAAAAAATTTTATTGTTTTAATAATGAGTTATTTAATGTTCTACGATTTAATATTTTAAACAATAAAAATAATATTATTTATGTTGCTTATTATCTGAAAGTTAATTCATATTGTGTTTTGTATAACAGGTATTAGTTATAAAGAAAATTCAAAATTAATTTTATTTTTATCTTCTGTAGTTTTCATCTGAAAAATTTACTGATATTTCACCACCTGAAACTCAGAAAAGATTTCTAAGTATTCCTTATCAAAAAATGAAGGAGAAATTCATAATTTGGAATGCATAACTGGTATATTAATTTTGATTTGTCTGGTAATATAATCAAAATTATGTGCTTGAAGGATATTATTGGTTTCTGATAAGCATTGAAGGGGGGAAAAAGTCTGTTCTGCATTTGAACTCATTGAGTAAAGAAAGAAAGAAGATATATTTTTAAAGGTATTTTTGCAGTCAAACATTTGACATTTTGGTGCTGAAAAAATGGTAAATTTATAATGTATAAAGAAACTTTTCATGAACTGTCATAACTTTTTATTTATTACTTTGATTGATGAATTCTGATTATTACTTTTATAACTGAAATGGGAAGTATTATATTCTTCTTTTAAGGAAAGTACTTGCTGTCTTTATTAGAAATGAACAAATGAAGAGCTATTTGATAATTTAGTTATTAATTTTCAAATGTGTGTAATTTATTTCTGTCATTAATTATTGTCTTCTTGAAGTATTTTAAAACTATAATGAAAAATCATATGATGAATCCTGTAGTTTAAAATTTATGTAACTTCTCCCCCCTTCTAGCATGAGGTAACACAGTTGAGAAATGAGGTTGCTCATTTAAAGACCATGTTGTTGGCACATAAAGATTGTCCTGTTACTCTTCAGCAGAAGGCATCGAATTATGATGCAGACAGAGAAGTTTGTAAGTAGAAACTTTTCAGATTGTTTAAAAAAATTTCATTGCAAGTGAAAATAATAAAAATTTAAATTCATTATTTCCACTTGTAATGAAATAATTTGAAAATAATTACTTTGAAAAAGAAAAAAATAGCATAATAATTATATATGGTCACTTCCCAAGAAGTAAGCAACTCGTGCATTTGCACAGTGAGAGTAAGATGGAAAAAGTGAGTCTATATTTCAGAATTTATGGAAATGGATGTGAACTCTGTGCAAAGTAGTAATGATGGTTCTTTTACATCTGATACCAGTGACACATCCTTTAGAGAAAGGTAGCATTGAATGTATTTGCATAATCCCTATGCAGTATAAAAATGGCTCACTATTCATAATTTGTCTGAGGAATGTCCAGAGCAAAGATTTTAATTTTTTTTTAATTGGAATTACTTTTTTTTTAATTCAAATGTTTGCAAAATATTTAATTATAATTGGAAGAAATCTAAAATGCTTTTAAAAAATCAGAACATTTAAAGTTAGGTAATATTTTACTATCATGTTCTCAAATTAAATTTTAAAATCATGTTTAATTCATTTCACTTGGAACTATTATTTCAAACATCTTAAAAATAAAGTTACTTGCCTTTTTATGCAAGTGTACTTGATTCCAGGAAAGAGATGTAGCCAGAATAAAATCAGGAATTAAAAGGATTATTGCTAAATTAAAGTTAGTAATTTTCTTTCATATTTTATATCATACAGATTAGGTATACTCTTAATATTGAAAATTAGTATTTTAGGAGAGTCAGCAATGGCTATGAACTGGCTGAGTGCTCCCTCAGTCACAGTCTTCTAGGCATAGTTTTAGCACAAAGTGCTACCACACATACATACACATGCTACACACACTTTTTTTTAAATATTGTTATGGCATGGTAATGTAAAATTTTAATCACTAAATTTGTAAGACCTAAGTTATTCATCTTAATTTGAATTTGAATTTTCATTTATTTGTGTTTTTATTCCAGTTATGTAATTTGAAGAATTTTATGGCCATAAATCATAAATAGAAACTTTGATATATTTATGCAATGCTGAAAGCCAATTACCTTTAATCCTTTGAGGGGGCACATTGAAAGTTTTTCAGCATTTTATGAAATTATTTGATAACTGTTACCTTTGAATATAATTGGTCATGGTTTTGTTGAATATTAGTAAAAACATAATTTATGAAAATTAACTCAATAATTTAAAAATATAATACAAATTGTGCTATTTATTCTGATATTATTTCAGGAGGAAATTTCACAAGATGTTATTCAAAATGTATAAATATACTAAATAAATGCTAAATTTATAACATTCTATCTTTGTATTTTCAACAGAAGTAGTATGTAGAAATTATCTAAAATATATGCTATTGTTTACATATTCACACAGCTTTACGAATTATGAAACTTTTAAAATCATGTGATGCATTTCTGATAATAACATAAAAGTACTTTTATGTACATAAATGTACTATATGCAGTACTTAAATCTTCAGGCACGTGGGTCATTGCCCCTTTTCTTGCAATCGGACAATTAGATGGTCTTTTTTTTTTTTTTTTTTTTTTTTTTTTGTGTGTGTGTGTGGTGAGACAAGGGACACATTCTTAACATGATTATAATTAGACTTCTTTATGATTGACAGTCTTAAGTCTTTTATTACATCTTACCAATCAGAAAATACATAGGAATGTTTTAGCTGTAAGATCACATTACACTCTAAAAATACATAGGAACATTTTAGCTCAAAGAAGGTGGTGGACATGTTCAAGAAGGTGGTGGTTCAAAGGTTGACTTTGGGTGGCATTATACCAAATTACATGACAGATTTATGTCCAAATGTTCAGTTAAGATCGATAAGTGTGTAATAGAGATTAATGACACAATAATAATTATATAAATTTAATTTTCTTTGTACAAAATTTAATGATAATTATTTACACTGCTAAGCAACATAATTTTGTATGTGTGCTTAGCTTTTGCATCATATTTCTTACTAAATGCATAAATTGAATTATTCATACTTAGTTTGACAACTAGTTCATTGTGTTTTGTCAATAAAATTGTTTTGTTTGTTTTGTTATGGGAAATCAGGGAAATTAAAGACTGAATTCTGTAATTCTGTGGGAATATCTAAGAGAACATTGATTTTATGTAAATTATTAAGCACACCGATTTTATAGCAATTATATCAGTGTTGTCCAAGTAATTACTTTAATTAAGCAATTTCATGTTCTTCAGTTTTGTAGCTTTCATTTAAAAGATAATGTTGTATTTTTTTTTTTTTTCCTGTAGTTACTACAGTTCGCATAATTACTTCTGCTTCTGATGATGTGCAACAAGTACCGAATAGTACTGTTGTTTCACCACTAAATGCAGAATTTATGGAAATGGATGTGAACTCTGTGCAAAGTAGTAATGATGGTTCTTTTACATCTGATACCAGTGACACATCCTTTAGAGAAAGGTAGCATTGAATGTATTTGCATAATCCCTATGCAGTATTCATAAAAATGGCTCACTATTCATAATTTGTCTGAGGAATGTCCAGAGCAAAGATTTTAATTTTTTTTTAATTGGAATTACTTTTTTTTAATTCAAATGTTTGCAAAATATTTAATTATAATTGGAAGAAATCTAAAATGCTTTTAAAAAATCAGAACATTTAAAATTAGGTAATATTTTACTATCATGTTCTCAAATTAAATTTTAAAATCATGTTTAATTCATTTCACTTGGAACTATTATTTCAAACATCTTAAAAATAAAGTTACTTGCCTTTTTATGGCACATTTATGGATATAGGTAATAATTAATTTTGATGTTTAAATTTTCAAACATCTGATTTTACTTGTCCATAATCGGAAGTAATATCTGAATCCTTGGTTTTTCTTTTTGTGTGTATTTTTAAAATTCTTTAAAAAAAAAAAAAAGAAAGAAAGAAAGAAATGCTAAAAAAATCAACTGGGAAAAACTAAACTAAAATATTATTCTTCATTATTGATATATTAACATATGTCAAAGATTTATAGCTAGAAAGTTTTAGAGATCACCTGGCCAGTTAAGAGTTACTTTGCAAATCGAATACATTGTCTGATTTAGCAGCTACAACATCTGAAATTGCTTTTAGGTCACATTACTGATGCACATATAGTAGCTCATATTTGTTTTTGGACATTTGTATTTTTGAAATATATTTGTATAGATTTTGTACTAAATAATGAAACACAAAGTGCAGATTTTTTTTCCAACGTAGAATTTTTTCTATTTTAAGCTTTGCTTGTTAAAAATTAAATATCATCAAAATATTCCTTGTAATAAAATGATAATTCAAATGTATTAGTCAGTAACTTACATAATAATTCAGACACTTGAAACTTTTGTTGAGATGTTTCGGCAGATAAAATTCTTTGTCATAATCTTATGTTTTAAATGAAAATACATCACAAAAATTATCATCTGCATCAGTGGCATAGCATAGGTTACTGCCGCCGGGGGCAGATACTAAATTTGCCGCCCCTGCCTGCTACAAAATGTGATATTATTGTAAAGATGAAATTTTCTAGTGCAAAGAAAATATTAAGCTGCAAAGAGAATTTTATTTTCTCCAAAATGTAAAACTCTTACAAACTCAAAAACAAAATTTAATTACAAAAAAAAAACGAAAATATGTTTTACATTCTAACATTAACCAATTATTATCAAAAACAGTATTGTTACTTTATTGTTAATTGAAAATATTTTATTGTTAATTGAAAATATTAATAAATAGTATTTAAAACATAATTGACTGTTGCACTATAATAAATATTTTTTTCATTGAAGAAGAAAATCATTTTTAACAACTTTCAGAATAAAAAAATATATTTTAATATAAATAAATGTAGGAAACAATTTATTTAGTCTTTTATTGAAAAGAAATAATTGGCAAAAATAATCATAAGTTTTCTTTTTGATTATTTCTTTTGTTATCTATTAGAAATAGAAATTAAACTCCTTTCTTAATTTAAATTTTCATTTTCTACTTTTCCTTATAGCAAAATCTTTAATAGCACTAATCAATATCAATTGAATCAGTCATTTCATGCTCAATAGCCAAAACAGCCAGATTAGTCAATCTCAGTGTACTCATTGTCGATTGTAAATAATTTTTGATTATCTTCAGTTTAAGAGAAGCTTCTCTCACAGCTGGCATTGCTGATGGCAATTGTGAGGAATATTCAAAGCAATATTATTATATTAGGCAGGGAAACTTCCAGCTTAAATTGCACAATAAACTTTAACACATCAAGCGGGCTTGAATTCATTAATTCATTTTTATTGCCCGTAGCATAACAAAAGTCTTTAGCCGCATGCATTCAAGCTTGAACTCTTCTTTGCCAATGTCATGAGATGCGTGTTCTAAGTTGACATCCTGGTCTTCAACATCCAGTAGTTTTGATGGTGTAAAAAAAGCAAATTTGTTCAACAACTTCCATAGCTGTTGAAACTTCTCTTGAATTTCCGCAGTTACCTTATCCAGCGATGAAAACAACTTTCTTCTCAACTCATTTTCGTGGGACAAAGCTGGACATGACTTCTGTCATCAAAAATTTGCTTCCTCCTTATTCGTCCATTAAAATGCTAAGGTCTTCACACAAATTTTTTGCATAACTCATAGCACTCTCTACCAATTCATTTCATTTTTCTCTGTGAGTGGTGCTGCAAAGCGCTTATTTTTTTGGCACACTGATGCATGTTGAATCCCTGTGTTTGTAAATAAATTTGGGCATCATTCACCTCATGCAGTATAGGTTTCCAGAGGCCCAAAAAACATAAAGAAGAAAATGAATCTATTGTGACTAACAAAGTTCCTGCGTCTGTTTGCGTGCTAAAGTTTTCGCTTGCGTCTGTCAATTTTTCTATAGCAGTCAAAATAAACGTATAGTGGTTCCATGCCACATCTACTGCTTCAGCTCTTGTGCTCCATCATGTATCCAGAATTATTTTTAATGTTTTACCTGTAGCAGCAATTAGAACATCCCATCGGTGTGTTGACATGGAAAAGTATGCATAAGAACATTCTAAAGTGTCGAAGAATGTTACAGAATTGGATTCGATTGAAGCAGGATACAAATTCGGCATTAGGATTTCTGTCTTTGAGTCTTTGTTGCACTCCTGTATGCTTTCCAGTCATGACAGCAGCATTATCATATGTTTGACCTCTGCAGTCCATTATATCATGTCGGAAATAGCTTCAGCGGTTTTATTTTTTGTTTCAATGAAATCTATAAAAGATTCCACCACTTCTACTTTCTGATTTTCAATCATTACCTATTGCACAACTTGGCTTGTTTGATCGTTATGTGAAATATCTGGAGTGTTATCACATATAATAGAATAATATTTGGCCTTTTGTACTTGACAGATAATTTGTTGGCGAACTTTATTTCCTGAAATTCCAATGAACTCATTTTGAATTTGCGGTGACATATTTGTGACCAAAATTTTTGGACCCATTTTTCCTGTGCACAAGGCGTTCTTGGAATACTGGATCGTACTTTGCAAGGAAATGCACCAGTTATAAGTTGCCTCTGTTTGTGCTGGTATTGTCTTCTCTGTGACAACGAAAAGCCAAATTCTGTTCACGAGGAATTTAATTACATCAAACATTCTAACAAGAATTTCTACACTTTTTTGTTTCCTTTGCCACAACATATAGGTTTTATATATATATATATCAATAGTCTGTCCTTTTTGAAGTCTGGTTTCTAACTCCTTCCATTTGCAAAAATTTTGGTTGTGTTGAGCACTTGATTCATGGTTGGCTGCTTTGGGATTTAGTTTCTGCCAATTTTTAAATCCATTAGATGAGCAAAATTTTGATTCACTCGATGTGTTTGTGTGACCAAACAAATGACAACAAAAGCAAAATAATGATGCTTTAGAAGGAGAATAAGCCATCCAAGTATGTAACACTTTTTCTCCATTAGTTAATGTGCGATATAACTGTTCTCGCATTGGATGCAACTCCATTCGGTGCAGTATCATTCGTGTCTGATTGTAACATTGTTGACACTTTAGTGAAATTAGTGTAACCTCCAGACCTCGCTGCACAAGTAGCAATCTCATGTTTTCATTTATATGTTCAGGACATTTTCCAACATCATCTAAATCCCTGTTGTGGGGTACTACGTAGAAGCTGATGTCAGTGTTTCATCAGTCTCACTCTCAGAGCCAGTGGCGTAAATAAGGGTATGCAAAGAATGCCGTTGCATAAGGGCCCGAAGGCTTAGGGGGCCTAGAATATCCTGCTGAACTACATTTATATGTTTAAACGTAAAAGGCAATGGATTCTTTTATAAATGCTATATATATGGAATAGAGTCCGTCTTCTTTTAAATTTCCAGTAGACCAAAACTTGTGGTATGGCAGAAGGGAAGACCTTCGGAACATAAGAATTAAAAATGTTCCAAGAACTATGTCGACATGAAATCGCTGAAGAAGACGAACCATCAGAAAACATTTCAGCTACAGTCATTAACCAGTGACGAAAGGTCAGATAATATTCCAACCGCTCTTAGAAATGTAAAAAATGAAAGATAGTCGTCCGATTTTGGTCATTATCCAGAAATTCTTACAAAGGATAAGAAAGGATTTGTTTTAAATTTTGGCCTCTGTAGACCAAAAGATACTGATTTTCCCTGAAATAAAGACAGCAGATCATTTTTTTTTCTGTTCATTATACAGTGATTAATAACTCTGTTTTAGAGACAGATTTTGCTTTGTTATACACTTGAACTTAACAAAGACTATTGCGAACCATGTTCATTAATTTCAAATAAAGACAGATGTGGTCAACAAGAATACAGCTCTGGCAAACGTTACCCGTATGAAAAAAAAGCACGAGAGAAGTTCTCATCATATCGCAAGCTGTACTGAACAGAAAAATTAGGAAGCAAATAACTGTATTGATCAAATATGGGAAAATCTGTAAAAGATGAAATCAATTTCGGTTAGTTTTAGGGAGATTAAATCCAGATAACTTTAGTAAAAAGTAACAATGGTTACATACATAGCTAATTTTTTACCTGATGTCAAATTATTGGAAGAATATGACATTGTAGAGACATTAGGTATTTTTTTAAAGCAGGAGAGATGACAAATGAGAAATGCCCTCGCCGGGACTCGAACCACGGATCTCTCGAATACACGCCGAGTGTGCTGACCACTATACCACGTAGGAATGCCAAGAAAGCGGAAGAAATACCTTACATACTTTAAAATAATACCTTACATTTAAATACCTTACATACTTTTAAAGGATGACTGGAGATTAGGAGACCCAATTACCAAATCCTAGTAGTGGAGAATCACCATCCACCACAATTTTATTTCGTGCACCACTGTAGAGACATTGGGTTTTTATTTGAAAGCAGAGAGATGAAAATGAGCAATGCCCTCGCCAGGACTCGAAACACGCATATCTCCATACGCGCCGAATATGCTGACCACTACATCATGAAGGCATGCCAAGAAGGCAGGAGAAATACCTTACAACGTTATAAAAATGCTTTCAAGCATTGTTAAATATTTGAATTCTGCTACATAAAATGAGAACAAAGCTTTTGGATGAAATTAAAAATTTGCTTTTTTATTTCTTTGTACGAATATCGTGTACAAAGTAATCATGAAAAACTTCGTTTATCATAGTTCAATGGAAATATCCATTTTGACCGTTCCCATATCCATCTGGGGCCCACCAGCGGCCGAGCAGTAAAGTCGCTAAACACTGGTAGTTCGGTCCGAGATTCGAATCCCTCGAACGGCCTAGCTGCATGGGCCTTCGTAGTTTTCCCCCATGTGTAACGTGTATACGAGCCAGTTTCCCTCAGAAAGACCTCCTCGAAGGCATCCCTTACCCTAGGAAGATGGCCCTAACTCCATTTTGTAGGAGGTTACGTCTGTACGTACAGACAAAAAAATAAAGGACTTTTCCCAAAATGGATTCAAAAGGGATTTTTTTCTTCACAATTGTATGTACGTATGTTATGTATGCACATATATATGCATGTATATGCATCGCATTACTCAAAAACGATTAGCTGTAGAGCGTTAAAATTTTGCACATGGGGTTGCTATAATATCCATTTGTGAACTTCTCTTTTTTATTGTAGAAAATATTTATGTATATATCAACCTACATATATATCAACCCCCTTACCCAAGCCTTTATTTTCACAATCTTTGGTCGTAGTCATATCTTCCCATTACAGAAGTGTTTTAAATGATGAAAAATGTTTTGGCTATGTCAAATTTTAAAAAAAATAACACAATTTTCGACGAATAACGAATTTAAACTTTTCATTCGGTTTCCCGGTTCCTGTACTTGGGAAAGTTTTGCACTCATTATGAAAAAATAAATTAGAAGATTGACTATTGTACAACAAAAACTGACCGGGATATTTAATTCAAAATTTGCACTTTTTGACGTCATTTTCATCTTGCCTTGAGGGATCGCCTTGCTACACCACTGATCTGCATTTGAAAATTATTACTTGTGGGGCCAAAATACATTAATAGTTCGATACCTGATGTGAATATAGCAGAAAGCTACAAACAACAATTTCTGCTAGAAATTTAACTAATCCTCATTTTAAAGAGGTAAAAATATCCCAAAAATCCTGGATGTAAAACATCCAAATTTCTTTGATGTTACAAAACGATGAAAATTGCATGAAACTGCTGAAAGTCTGGATCACATTCCAAGCTAATACAAAGGAGTTAAGGGATTTATCCTATAAAAAATCAAATGAAACCCAAATTATTAGTGCTGCAATTTTATGGTAAATTTAGAACAGTTTGCAATAAAAGTTAACCCTGAAACCATGAAAAGAATCATTGGAGCATATGGATACAATGGAGTATTAGCAAGAAGGAAATTCTTTGTCCACAAGAAAAAGGAAGTATGTCTGATGTTCTCAATTTTTATGGTATGCAAAGATTTATCATATTAAAACAGTGTTATATTTTTTGCAACTGAGTCACAATTTAATACATTTAGGTCGTATGGACTAAATAGCATACTTTCCATGGACATTGCTATGTGGTGGTATCGAATAAAAAATTGAATCCGAAGAATTTATTGCCTGCTCTTAGCATTTGGGTGGAGGCCTAATGGTTTAGAGATGTTTCGCTGCCTCTGGTGGGAAACATAATTTTTATTGAAAATAGCATGGATATTTATAAACATGTAAATATTCTTAATGAAAATCTAAAAGTATGAACAAAAAAACTTGGAATGCAAAATGCATTCAAATTCTATCAGGATGACAATCCTAAACATACAACCTTAAATGGTCATTGATGGTTATTATACATCTGTCTTGAAATTGTTAAAATTCCATCATATTCTTCTGACATAAGTTCTATCGAACATATACCGATTGAGTTGGAGAAAGAATATGGAAGCATGCCATTTCTTTGAAAGCTGTAGTAAAAGAAGTTCATAATACAAAACAAACTTTCTTATATGAAAAAAAAAAAAATAGTTGAATGTATTTCAGAGTGCATCAAAAGTGTAAGTTTACCTAAAGGATATCCAACAAAACATGAATCTCCCATTATTTTCATGTTTTTAGTATACTGTTTGGTCTAGTTTCAGAATAGTTATACGAGTTCATTTTCAGAATGATTTGAATTTTTGTTTCTGACCTAAAACGCTTTCAGTATTTTTTTTATTTAAATGAGCAAGATTTGAAAAAGGTAATTAATAATATATGTGAAGAAAAAATAAAATAATTTCGCCACTACTAAGGCTATTTGCACATATTTGTTTTTGGAGGGGGGACGATTTTCATTGCATTTGCAGAAATATTGTACCTAAAATTTTTGTGTTTTAAATGTTCAGTTTGCTAACCCTTATTCTTTACTATCTTTTTACACTGTAATTCTGAAGACAGTAAAGCTTTTCTTAGTAGCGGAAGAGGTATTTTATTCCATTCCTCTTGGACAGTTTTCCGAAGTCTAAGGAGGATTGAAGATCAACATCTGGACAATCTGCTTTTTAAAAGTCCAAAAGTGCAAAAATCTATGGATGATACAACAGGAGATTTAATAGGGATATGACCTTGATACTAATTTCTTATTCCATTTTTTCCAGAAAATTATGAGTGGATTTTGATTTGTGGCTGTTTGCGTTCTGATGATGCAGTTCTACTGATTGATGGTTCTGTGGATAAAGAGAAGGTGTTTCATATTTGAAAATTGGGTTTAAAAATTTTTCCTGATAGTATGTGGAGTTGACCTTAACAATTTTCTGCACTCTCTTTTATTTGTCGTTATATCAAAAACCAGCAACAATCATAAATCCCTTTGGAAAACTTTCTTTAGATTCTTTGAATCATGCTCTAAGATTATTTTTCTTCTCTTTGATGGATGAAGTTCTTTTAATTGCTGTCATTTAAATGTTTGCAAGATTTTTCTGTTGTGACAGCATTTTTCCATTTTTGTCCAAATAATTGTTTCCCGTAGAGAATTATGCAGTGTGTTCTGCTTTTGGTGTTATGTCATGGAAAAAAAATTATGCACATTATGTTTTTTCAACTTTTTAAGATTCAAATCAACATTAATCACTTTGTTTATAGTTTTCACTGAGCATTTGAATGATCATGCAGCTGCTCTGAAGATTTTATTTAACATTAAAGTTCTTACCTTTGCAACATTTGAAACATTCCACTTTTTTCCTTGAATATGTATTTTGAACAATTTTTCTCCTTGAAACCTAATTTTGATGGTTCCCCCCTTTCTTATTGACAATATTATCCATCAGTGCTTTAAATACTGAAAACTCAGGGCTTTCACAAGAGCGTTTTATAATTAAATACGAATAATTTTCTTCAGAAAGAGTGCAAACATAGCTTACCATCCATTGCTTCTTTAAAAGGGTCATTTTTGTATGAACACAAAATTGTCAAGTAGCAGACCATAATTTACACTTTCAGAAATATAGTTGCAGTTAAAAAAAATAATTCCAA